GGTTCGATCCCCGCGTCCTCCACAGGCGAATATATTTTTAAATCCTTTATATTAAGTTCGCTGCCACGCATATAAAGGATTTATAGTGAAAAACTTTGTTTTTACGGGTTATACTTATTAAATCCTTTATATTAAGTTCGCATGCTTGCGTGCTTGCGTGCTTGCTTACTTGCTTACGACCGTGCAAATCTTTCGGTCGTTTTTTAACCCACTTCCCGTGATCCAATCGAGCTGACATTTTGCACACAGACTCGTTGTGCGTGACAATTAATGTTCGTGAAAAATAATGTCCAAAATTTTACACTGTATAGGGAAAACAAATTAAACATTTAATTACCAATTGCTTAATGGTGGCAGGCAATCATCTGACCCATAGGTGGCAGCCATCTCAAGCCAGAGGACGAGAGGACTCTAGCCGCCACGCATATGAAGGATTTAGAGTGAAAAACTTTGTTTTTACGGGTTATACTTATTTTACATTTATTCAAATAGAAAACGTTACACATTTGGTGAGTCCATTGGGCAAGGCACTGACCGCTTGATTGGGATTTGCTGTTTATTAAAAGAAGCATTGTTGATCGAAATTTTGCTTTCATGGCTTTATTTTGGTGATTTCGAAAAGTGTATTGGTTTAGCCATGTTTGTTTGTTGTAGTACAGAGTTAGACTGATGGCCTTAATCTAAGTTGTCTTATTGTTGTTGTTGTTGTTTGACTTGCATCCCACTGGGATATTTGCACACAGCGTTGGTGTGTAGCGGTGATTTTTTCTGCAATATTTTGCTGTCTTTTCTTGGACTTTCTGTTTGCTCTTAGTCACATATTCACTTTAAGATGTTTTTTGTTCGTGTTTTTGTTTTTTGTTTGTTGCGGTTGCACCCGATTCAAGAGCCGAATGGCTCACAGGACTACACCTAATACATGAACTTGAACTTGAAAGCTTCAAATCTAGAACTCATTCATGGATTAGGCTGAACGTCACCGTGTAGGAGCCCAGAGCTTGATACCTTCACGCCCTGGGCGAGTAGCGCAGTGGGTAGCGCCCTCGCTTCCCATGCGGAAGGTTGCGGGTTCGATCCCCGCGTTCTCCACAGGCGATGCGTTCACTTCTCTTACACACTCGTGGCAATGATCACCGTCAATCTATTACAAATGTTTCCATAAGTTTCAACCTCCCACCCCCCCACATTCAGACTCTGTCTTCTCGACAGAGAACAGGTCTGTCGAGAAGACAGAGTCATTCAGACTCTGAGACCCATAGAATCACTCACACACACAGAGCGAGCCATAGACTCATCACACACACAGACCCATAGACTCACTCACACACAGAGACCCATAGACTCACTCACACACACAGAGAGAGAACCATAGACTTATCATCACACAGAGAGGGCCATGGACTCATCACTCACACACAGAGAGCCATAGACTCATGACACAGAGACCCATAGACTCACTCACACACACAGAGCGAGCCATAGACTCATCACACACACAGACCCATAGACTCACTCACACAGACCCATAGACTCACACACACAGAGAGCCATAGACTCACTCACACACACAGACCCATAGACTCACTCACACACACAGACCCATAGACTCACTCACACAGAGAGCCATAGACTCACTCACACACACAGACCCATAGACTCACTCACACACACAGACCCATAGACTCACTCACACAGAGAGCCATAGACTCACTCACACACAGAGACCCATAGACTCACTCACACAGAGAGAGAGCCATAGACTCACAGATGGTGGTGGCGTTGATGGTGGTGGTGGTGGTGGTGATGATGGTGGTGGTGATTGTGGTGATGATGGTGATGGTGATGATGGTGGTGATGGTGGTGATGGTGGTAGCGATGGTGGTGATGCTATTGATGATGATGGTGATGATGGTGCAGGTGGTGGTGCAGGTCGTGATGGTGCAGGTGGTGGTGCAGGTGATGGTGATGGTGGTGATGGTGGTGATGGTGGTAGTGATGGTGGTGGTGATGGTGATGGTGATGATGGTGGTGGTGATGATGGTGGCGGTGATGGTGGTGGTGGTGGTGATGGTGGTGGTGGTGGTGATGATGATGGTGATGATGATGGTGGTGGTGATGGTGGTGATGGTGGTGATGGTGGTGGTGATTGATTGCCCGTGGGACAAATGTTATAGCGGTGTCATAATCGTTTATAAAAGGAGGTTTTAAAAGTTGTAACACATTAAACAAAATTTTTGAATGGAGGGGAGAATTGGTAGCTCGGATAGGCGAGCAATGCCCCGGTCAGAGTGGAATTGGTAGAGCGGATAAGGGCCACAGTTTGATTTGCACCACTTAATTAATTGTGTGTGTGTACGTGTGTGTGTACGTGTGTACGTGTGTGTGTGTGTGTACGTGTGTGTGTGTGTGTACGCGTGTGTGTGTACGTGTGTGTGTGTGTACGTGTGTGTGTGTACGTGTGTGTGTGTACAGGTGGTGAATCAGGTGAGTGGTCAGTGCAGGTAACCTGGGTGGGTGTGGTTACCACTGCTAAGGAAGGGTGGTTATCACTGCTAAAGAAGGGTGGTTACCACTGCTAAGGAAGGGTGGTTACCACTGCTAAGGAAGGGTGGTTACCACTGCTAAGGAAGGGTGGTTATCACTGCTAAAGAAGGGTGGTTACCACTGCTAAGGAAGGGTGGTTACCACTGCTAAAGAAGGGTGGTTACCACTGCTAAAGAAGGGTGGTTACCACTGCTAAGGAAGGGTGGTTATCACTGCTAAAGAAGGGTGGTTACCACTGCTAAGGAAGGGTGGTTACCACTGCTAAAGAAGGGTGGTTACCACTGCTAAGGAAGGGTGGTTACCACTGCTAAAGAAGGGTGGTTACCACTGCTAAGGAAGGGTGGTTACCACTGCTAAAGAAGGGTGGTTACCACTGCTAAAGAAGGGTGGTTACCACTGCTAAGGAAGGGTGGTTACCACTGCTAAGGAAGGGTGGTTACCACTGCTAAGGAAGGGTGGTTACCACTGCTAAGGAAGGGTGGTTCTCGCGGCATCGTGGATGTTGATGTTGGTGGTGCTCCTTACCAACGAGAGAGAGGCTCTAGTGACGGGCCGGGTGGCCGCGCCTCCACCCCCAGCACCACCCAACCCGTCAGCTGCTGCCCCGTGCTGCTGCTGCTGCCCCGTGCTGCTGCTGCCCACGTGAGTTGCCTCCTCCCCCGGCAGTCTGTACAGACTGTGCGTGTGTCTGTGTACAGCTGAGGGGAGCGGCGGTGCAGCGGTTAGCGCTACGCCGCGCTACGAACCCGGCGACACGGGTTCGATTCCCGCTCACGGCCAACACCGGTGACGATTATCTGAACCGGTCCCGGGCCTCCCCTAGGTCGACTCAGCCTCAAAATGAGTACCTGGTGTAGCGGCGGTGTGGAGTAAACATCGCTAGCACTGGGGGAGAGACCAAGGCTACTTGCTACTAACAGCACTTGCCCCTACAGCGCTGCTAGAGGCTACCTGGGGTAGCTTTGTTTGTGCGTGGTGTGTGTAGTACATAGACACTGCTGCTGTTACTTGCTACTAACAGCATTTGCCCCTACAGCCCTGTTAGAAGCTACCTGGGGTAGCTTTGTCTGTGTGTGGTGTGTGTAGTTTTAGACTGATTTCAGGGTGCTGATTCCAAATCTGATCTCAGATTTGCTCTATCACATCTCATTTTTATGCTATCGGCATACCCCATTTTCATTGATTTTACCAGACATTAACTCTGTCACTTATGATTGCAAGTTGTTGCGAGTCAGTGACTGCTTTAGTGTTAAAATATGGTGCTGTATGTTTAGGATAGTGTGTTTACAATATCATTTTATGTAGATATCCACATTTATTTAATATTTTTCTTCCACAGTTTTTATTGAAAATGCAATATTTTATATCTCAAAAACCTGATGTGATAGACAAAAACTGATGCTGGGTTAATCATTCATTGGGGTCCTTCTCTCTGGCTGGGTTAATCATTCATTGGGGTCCTTTTCTCTGGCTGGGTTAATCATTCATTGGGGTCCTTCTCTCTGGCTGGGGTTAGACTGCAGCAGCAGCAATAGCAGTTGGTGTAGCATCCATGTTCTTACACAACACTCCACTCGCTCTGAAACACTCCACTCACCCTTCCACACGCCACTCCACTCTCTCTCACCGCCTCGTCTATCTCGCGGGAAAAGAGTGTCGGTGAATCGAACCGATTCCCCCGCCGCCACGATCCACACCCCACCAGCACCATGACCTCCATGGGAGTCGTCTCCGCGCTCCTGCACAGCGGCAGCAGCGGCAGCAGCGGCAGCAGCGGCAGGCATCTGGGGTCCCTCCTCGCCGTCTGCATCGCCGCCACCGCCGCCGTCTTAGCGGTGGGGGCCGCTCACGAAGGTAACGAGACGGGGGGCGGGGGAGCTCAAGCATCGCTCTGTGCCAGCTCCGCGTCTTTCTCTCTCCCCTCTCTCCCGTCGCTTCAACTCGTGAGGACCGCGCGCGTGGCCGTGACGCCCATCGTGATGGTGACTGAGCACGTGGCGAGGAATGCACTGGCATTAGAGCCTTTCCTGAATCTCATAAGGCGGAGACTCAGCGGCCTGGTGCTCAGGGAACCAAATGTCAGTTTGGTCCTGACGGCATACGCCGATGACATCCTCCTCATCCTTCGTTCCCTGGATGATGTCGCCCTGCTCCACGAGTGTCAGGAGGTCTTTTCGAAGGCCTCCTCATCCAAAATGAACTGGCAAAAGTGCAGCGGCCTGCTGGTTGGAGCGTGGGACATGACCGAGTGTCCGGAGAAGGCAAAAACCATCAATTGGAGCACAACATCGCTGCACCACTTGGGGGTGTTCCTGGGACCAGAGGAGGAACCACCGCAAAGGAACTGGGTCGAGCTGGAGGAGAAGGTGAAGGAGCGGCTGGGCACCTGGAGTCGCCTGTGCAAGTTCCTCACCTTCAGGACAAAGACGTTGGTGGTGAACTAGCTGGTGACGTCCATGCTGTGGCACCGACTCTTCTCCCTGCACCCCCCCATGAGCCTCGTTAACGCGCTTCAGAAGCGAGTCCTCGACTTCTTCTGGTCGGGCAGAGGACACCGGGTCGCGGCTGGGGTCCTGGCCCTGCCACTGGACGAGGGCGGTCACGGGCTGGTGTGCGTGCGGAGTCAGCTGGCCACCTTCCGACTGCAGGCCGCACAAAAGTTCCTGCACGCCACCACCCCTGCACCAGCCTGGAGCGTCACGGCCTCCTTCCTACTTAAACAGCTGGGGGGTCTGCAGTGCTCCAAACAACTATTCTATATGGACCTGCAGGGCCTCCCACTGGGACAGCTGCCACCTTTCTACAGGAGCGTCCTGCAGACGTGGAGCTCCCTCGCCGTCAGGAGGCTGAACCAGCCGCAATCGGCCGAGGATCTGGTCTTCGAACCGATCCTCAGGAACCCGCAGACAAAGCTGCCGTCCACCACCGCCACCCCCGGCATGGAGAGGCGCCTCACCAACGCGCGGCTCACCAGGATGGGAGATCTGGTGGAGCCTGGAACACGGGGCCGGTGGCTCGGACCAGCAGACATGGCCGCAAAGACAGGGCTGCAATCGCTCCGGGTGGCTGCCCGGATCCTGGCCGAAGCCAAGGGGGCCTTCTCAGCGGCAGCGGGGAGAACGCCCCCCATCGGCGTTGGGGATCACGAAGCCCCTCTCGGTCCCCCTCCACCGGAGCTCTCCGTCGTGCCACTGCGTCGCCAATGCCGACAAGCGAAGGCGGATCACAACCTGTGCCGGCTGGAGGACCTACCAGAGGTGGCCTTCGCAAATGTCAAGAGGAAGGTGCTCTACTCCTACATGGTCCGGTTTCACCAACAGGACACCCTGAGGAGCCATAAGGACCATGCCTGGAGGAAAGCCCTGCCCTGCATCTCTCCGGAGAGGCCTCGCTGGAGGCAACTCTACTCCAGCCCGACGTACAACCGCATCGGCGACCTCAGCTGGAGCATCGCCCACGGCACCGTCACCACCAACGCCTCCCTGGCGCGCTTCACCGACACGCCCCCGGAGTGCCGGTTCTGCGGAAAAGTGGAGACGGTGGCGCACCAATACGTGGAGTGCAAGAGCCTGGACTCGCTGTTCAAGGTCCTGAGAAACATCCTCCTAAAGTTCAGCCTCCACTTCTCCCCGACGGTCCTCATTTTTGGATACCGAAAGGGCGACGGACCCCAACATCTCCAGGGGCTGGTCAACGTGCTCGTCGGCTACGCCAAGCTCGCCATATACAGGGCGAGGAAGGTGGCCCTGGAGGGGAAACGTCCGGCCAGCAGCCTGGGCATCTTCCGCGCTCTGGTCGGAGCCAGGGTGTGGCTGGAGTTCCGCCATGCGCGGCTGACCCACGCCGTGCCGGCCTTCAAGGAGCAGTGGGCGATGGAGGAGGCCGTGTGCTCCGTGGCAGATGACGGGGAGCTCTGCATGCTGTTATGAGCTACCCGTCGGAGGCCGTCGGACTGCGAGGGGGGCGGCGTACATAACGAGAGAGTGAGCGCGAGAAAAGGAGCGAGAGAATGAGCGAGAGAGAGAGCGAGCGAGCGAGCGAGCGAGAGAGTGAGCGAGAGAGCGAGCGAGCGAGCGAGTGAGCGAGAGAGCGAGCGAGCGAGGGCAACATAAAGCCCCGTTTAAAAAAAATAAAAAAATTAAAAAATAATAATTTACGAAATGATGAACGAAACAAAGTGCCGAATACACCGAGCATCTTCTTGTTTCCACTGATCGTAAAAAAAAAAGAGAGAGGAGAGAGAGACGCCGCCAACTTCTGTATATACAGCAGCAGCAGGCGTCGTCAGGGTCGGGATCGAACCCACGACCTCCTGTAGACCAGGCGAGGTAGTCGACATCTCATAGCCACCGTGATGATGATGATGAGAGAGACGCAGACTCCAAATATACAGCAGCAGGCATCGTCAGGGTCGGGATCGAACTCACAACCTCCTGTAGACCAGGCGTGGTAGTTAACATCTCATAGCCACCGTGATGATGATGAGAGAGAGACGCAGACTCCAAATATACAGCAGCAGGCATCGTCAGGGTCGGGATCGAACCCACAACCTCCTGTAGACCAGGCAAGGTAGTTAACATCTCATAGCCACCGTGGTGATGAGAGAGAGACGCAGACTCCAAGTACAATAGACTTGGGTGCGGCTATGAGCGAATACTTGGAAATGGTTTGAAGGTATTTGAAGTCGTTGATTGTGTTTCAGCTTTAGTGTTTTAGGTGGTCACTGTGAGTGATGCTTGAAGGATCATGTCTTGACCATGTGGAGAAGCACTCGTGAACTGGGGAACTAGTGTGTGTGCACGTGTGTACGTGTGTGTACGTGTGTGTACGTGAGTGTGTGTGTTCACGTGTGTGTGTGTGCTCACGTGTGTGTGTTCACGTGAGTGTGTGTACACGTGTGTGTTCACGTGTGTGTACGTGTGTGTGTGTGTGTTCACGTGTGAGTGTACGTGAGTGTGTGTACGTGTGTATGTTCACGTGTGTGTGTGTACGTTTGTGTTCACATGTGTGTACGTGTGTGTTCACGTGTGTGTACGTGTGTGTACATGTGTGTTCACGTGTGTGTGTGTTCACGTGCGTGTACGTGTGTGTTCACGTGAGTGTTCACGTGTGTGTACGTGTGTGTGTGTACGTGAGTGTGTGTACGTGTTTGTTCACGTGTGGGTGTGTGTTCACGTGCGTGTACGTGTGTGTGTTCACGTGTGTGTGTTCACGTGTGAGTGTGTGTACATGTGCGTGTGTTCACGTGTGTGTACGTGTGTGTGTTCACGTGTGTGTTCACATGTGTGTGAGTGTGTGTACATGTGTGTGTGTTTACGTGTGAGTGTGTGTACGTGTTTATGTGTTCATGTGTGTGTGTGTACATGTGTGTGTGTTCACGTGTGTGTGTACGTGTGTGTGTACGTGTGTGAGTGTACGTCAGTGTTTGTACGTGTGTGTGAGTGTATGTGAGCGTGTGTACATGTGAGTGTTCACGTGTGTACGGTACGTGTGTACGCGTGTGTTCACGAGTGTGTACGTGAGTGTGTGTATTCAAATGTGTGTGTTCACGTGTGTGTACGTGTGTGTGTGTGTTCACGTGTGTGTGTACGTGAGTGTGTGTTCAAGTGTGTGTGTTCACGTGTGTGTACGTGTGTGTTCACGTGTGAGTGTGTACGTGTGAGTGTACGTGTGTGTGTGTTCACGTGTGTGTGTGTGTGTGTTCACGTGTGTGTGTGTTCACGCGTGTGTACGTGTGTGTGTGTTCACGTGTGTGTGTACATGTGTGTTCACGTGTGTGTGAGTGTGTGTACGTGAGTGTGTGTGTTCACGTGTGTGTACGTGTGTGTGTTCAAGTGTGTGTGTGTTCAAGTGTGTGTGTTCAAGTGTGTGTGTGTGTGTTCACATTGCTTTGCTAGGCATGCTGAGGAGAGGCTTACGGAGCCCCAATGCGGTTTCAGGAAAGGGCGGTCCTGTACAGATGCCATATTTTTCTGTCCGTCTGCTACAGCAGAGATGTAGGGAATTCCAAAAAGACCTAGATCTCTGCTTTATTGACCTGGTCAAGGCCTATGATACCATCAGTAGGACTGGGCTCTGGGTTGTTCTTCGTGCTTTCGAAGTCCCTGACCCTCTGCTCACGATCATTAAGGACCTTCATGATGGTGAGCGGGCCCGGGTAAAACTACGTGGCCGGGAGTCGGAGCCTTTCCCTGTACACCTTGGGGTGCAACAGGGATGTACTCTGGCTCCCACATTATTTAACATCTATTTAGACTGCGTAGTTCGTGAAGCCTGCAATAGCTGTACCGGGGGAATTTCCATTTGGTACAGATATAATGGGAGGCTGATCGACGCCCGGGTGCGATCAAGGGATGGCTCCCTATTGGTCAACCACGTTATGTATGCCGATGATTTGGTAATAGCTGCTCATTCAGAAGAGGAGTTGGAGACGCTGCTGCTGAGACTGGAGCGTGCCACTAAGAGGTGGGGCCTTACCATCAGCCCCACCAAAACTAAGCACCTGCCTGGGTATTTTGTACCATCGGACACTCCACCCCCACAACTCCCAATCGGTGATGGGGCAGTTGTGGAGAGAGTGGAGAGTTTCCCATACCTGGGCAGTGTGCTTATGACCGGCTCCAGTTTATCAGCAGAGGTCTCACTCCGAATCAGTCGAGCGGCAATATCTTTTCATCGGTTGCGTAACGCTGTGTGGAAGCTACCTGGTCTGTCACTCCGCACGAAGCTTCAGGTCTTCTCGGCCACGGTCATTCCCTCCTTTCTCTACGCTTGCGAAACGTGGACCCCCCTAATGGAGCATCTTCGCCAGTTGGAAACATTTAGGCTGGCCTGCCTACGATCCATCATGGGTTTAACCAGGCTGGATTGTGTGAGGAGCTCACAAGTCCTTGAAAGATCTGGGCAAAGTCCCATCAGTGAGCTCCTCCGGCAGGCAAGGCTGCGTTGGCTGGGTCATGTAGCCCGCATGCCCAGCCACCGCATGCCTAAACAGCTTTTGTTCGGCCGGATCGAGGGGGCTAAACGGGCGCGGCACGGGCTAGAGAAGAGATGGAGTGATGTGGTACAGGAGGACATGGAGCTGAGTGGACTTGCCAATGACTGGTACCAGCGGTGTCAAGATCGGCCTCAGTGGAGGAGGCTCGTGAAGGACGCTACTGGGCAGTTGGAGGCAGTTGCCCTCCAACAACAACGGAGGGCGGAGGAGCGACGCTCACAACAACGAGCGGAGCGCCGGGTGGCTAAAGCACAGCAAGTTGGTACAGTAGGAGGCACAGGTGGTGCATCAGCCAGTCATCTCGGTCATCTCGGTCAGTCGACCCGTGGCACCTGGGTCTGCCCCGTGACCTCCTGCCAGCGGGCGTTCGACACTTCACGTGGCCTCAAGGTGCACTTGGCCTGGCACAAGCGTCGTGGTGACGTCACCGCCACTTAATGGCGAATGGCGGTTGTTGTTGTTGTGTGTTCACGTGTGAGTGTGTACGTGTGTGTGTTCAAGTGTGTGTGTTCACGTGTGTGTGTGTATGGGTGTGTGAGTGTACGTGAGTGTGTGTGTTCACGTGTGTTCAAGTGTGTGTTCACGTGTGTGTGTTCAAGTGTGTGTGTTCACGTGTGTTCACGTGTGTGTACGTGTGTGTTCACGTATGAGGGTGTTCACGTGTGTGTACGTGTGTGTGTGTTCACGTGTGTGTGACTGTACGTGTGTTCACGTGTGTGTTCACGTGTGTGTGTTCACGTGTGTGTGTATACGTGTGTGTGCACGTGTGTGTGAGTGTACGTGTGTGTTCACGTGTGTGTTCACGTGTGTGTTCACGTGTGTGTGTATACGTGTGTGTGTGCACGTGTGTGTGAGTGTACGTGTGTGTTCATGTGTGTTCACGTGTGTGTGTGCGTGTACGTGTGTGTGCACGTGTGTGTGAGTGTACGTGCGTGAGTGTACGTGAGTGTGCGTGTGTACGTGTGTGAATGTACGTGTTTACGTGTGTGTGTTCACGTGAGTGTACGTATGATTTTGTGTGTACGTGTGTGTGCGTGTGCGCATGTGTGAGTGTACGTGTGTGTGTACGTGTGTGTGTACGTGTGTGTGTACGTGTGTGAGTGTACGTGTGTTCACGTGTGTGTGTGTGTGTTCACGTGTGAGTGAGTGTACGTGTGTGTTCACGTGTGTGTACGTGTGTGTGTGTGAGTGTACGTGTGTGTGTACGTGTGTGTGTTCATGTGTGTGAGTGGCGGTGTGAGTGGTGAGTGGCGGTGTGAGTGGTGAGTGACGGTGTGAGTGATGAGTGAGTGGCGAGTAGCGGTGTGAGTGGTGAGTGGCGGTGTGAGTGGTGAGTGAGTGGCGAGTGGCGGTGTGAGTGGTGAGTGAGTGGCGGTGTGAGTGGCGGTGTGAGTGGTGAGTGAGTGGTGAGTGGCGGTGTAAGTGGTGAGTGACGGTGTGAGTGGTGAGTGAGTGGCGAGTGGCGGTGTGAGTGGTGAGTGAGTGGTGAGTGGCGAGTGGCGGTGTGAGTGGTGAGTGGTGAGTGGCGGTGTGAGTGGTGAGTGGCGGTGTGAGTGGTGAGTGGCGGTGTGAGTGGTGAGTGTTGAGTGAGTGGTGAGTGAGTGGTGAGTGAGTGGTGAGTGGCGGTGTGAGTGGTGAGTGGTGAGTGGTGAGTGAGTGGCGGTGTGAGTGGTGAGTGGTGAGTGAGTGGCGGGGTGAGTGGTGAGTGGTGAGTGGCGGTGTGAGTGGTGAGTGAGTGGTGAGTGGTCAGTGGTGAGTGGTGAGTGGCAGTGTGAGTGGTGAGTGGTGAGTGGCGGTGTGAGTGGTGAGTGGTGAGTGGTGAGTGGCAGTGTGAGTGGTGAGTGGCGGTGTGAGTGGTGAGTGAGTGGTGAGTGGTCAGTGGTGAGTGGCGGTGTGAGTGGCGAGTGGCGGTGTGAGTGGTGAGTGAGTGGCGGTGTGAGTGGTGAGTGTTTAGTGGTGAGTGTTGAGTGGTGAGTGAGTGATGAGTGAGTGGTGAGTGTTGAGTGGTGAGTGGCGGTGTGAGTGGCGAGTGGCGGTGCGAGTGGCGAGTGGTGGTGTGAGTGGTGAGTGAGTAGTGAGTGAGTGGTGAGTAAGTGGTGAGTGAGTGATGAGCGAGTGATGAGCGAGTGAGTGGTGAGTGAGTGGCGAGTGACGTATCTCTCCCCCCGCCCCCCAAGTGCGCACGACCACGGGGTCTGGTGGCCCCCCTCGCTGGAGCCGCATGTCCGGCTCGCTGTCCAGGCCGCTGTGGGTGGTGCCCAGCGGCAGCAGCGTCAAGCTGCGCTGCCTCGCCACCGGAGTGCCCACGCCCTCCGTGGCCTGGCACCACGACGGAGGGCGCCTCCACGGCGGGGAGGAGCGGCGCCTCGGGGCCTTCCGGGTGAGCGGGGCCGGGTGAGCGGGGCTGGGTGAGCGGGCTGAGTGAGCGGGGTTGGGTGAGCGGGGCCGGGTGAGCGGGGCCGGGTGAGCGGGGCCGGGTGAGTGGGGCCGGGTGAGCGGGGCCGGGTGAGCGGGGCTGGGTGAGCGGGGCAGGGTGAGCGGGGCCGGGTAAGCGGGGCCGGGTGAGCGGGGCTGGGTGAGTGGGGCCGGGTGAGCAGGGCTGGGTGAGCGGGGTCAGGTGAGCGGGTTGGGCTTCACATTCATATTCTTAGGTTTTTTCGGTAAAGTCACTGTGTAGGTAAAACATTTATATTAATAAAAGTAAAATAAAAATTAAATAAAAATCACGTTTCGGAGGCAACACAAGCTTCCCAAACGTCGTGATTTTTATTTTATTATTTTACTTTTATTAATTTAATTTTTTTTACCTACGTGACTTTACCGAAAAAAACTAAGAATATGAATCCTTGCAGTCTTGAAAGCTTCAAATCTAGAATTATGTGTTTCACATCTTGACACAAACTTTTGGCGTCTGGTCCAACACCAGGGTGAGACTGGGCTCTAAGAAAAGCTGTTTCGGGTGTGGACCAATCAACTTCAAGGACAGTGCATATCATTATCATCATCAGAGTTGTTCCTTTTTGTTTGCATTTTGACTGCTTGTGTTGTGTATTATTGCAAACATGATGCCTTGTATAAAGGTGTCAGTTTTTGTACCAGTTGAAAGGGTAAAAACCTATTACTTTATTTTGCCACTGGCAAAGGAGATGTCTCATAGTACAAACTGTTTGATGGCCGGGTGAAAGGGTGGACGGCCTCTTGTTATATTTGTCACGCCGTCCAGGAAGCAGCCACGAGCTGCTAGACATGGTCCTGGGAGTGACATTGTCTGGTCCGACACTTTGGTGTGGACCAAGCAGTGTGTAAGACAATGGCGATGTGTGTGTGTGTAATGTTGTTGTTGTTGTTGTGCTGTTGAAGCTGAGGATCAAGGACTGGACGCTCGTGCTGGACAGCGTGGTGCCCTCTGACGCGGGCAACTACAGCTGTGTGGTCAGCAACCAGCACGGCTCCATCCAGCACTCGTACCAGCTCGTCGTCATCGGTGGTGACCCCCCCTCCACTCTCCCCCCCTCCACTCTCCCCCCTCCCTCTCCCCCTCCCTCTCACCCCTCCATCTCCCCTCTCCCTATCATCTCCCCCCCTCCCCTTTTTTTCTCTTTTTTTTCTACGATCAGTGGAAACAAGAAGATGCTCGGTGTAGTCGGCACTTTGCTTCGTTCATCATTTCGTAATTTTTTTGCCTCTCCCCCCTCCCCCCTCCCGCCCCTCCCGGCGTGCAGAGCGTGGCCAGCCCCAGCGGCCGTCGCTGCAGGACGGCCTCCCGGCGAACGTGACGGCGGCGGAGGGGAGCGACGTGGAGCTCCGCTGCGTCGTCCTGCAGAGCGCTGGCGGCAGCAGTCAGCAGCAGCTGCACCACCACGTGCAGTGGCTCAAGCACGTGGAGGTGAATGGCAGCCTCGAAGCACCCAATGGCTCACCCTACGTGCACGTCCTCACGGTGAGCGGGCGAGGCACGGGGGCACCCACCCACTCACCCACCAACTCACCCACTCACCCACCCACCCACTCACCCACTCACCCACTAACTCACTCACTCACTCACCCACTCACACACTCACTCACTCACCCACCCACTCACTCACTCACCCACTTACCTACTCACCTACTCACCCACTCACTCACCCACCCACTCACTCACCCACCCACTCACCCACCCACCCACTCACTCACCCACCCACTCACCCACCCACTCACCCACCCACTCACTCACCCACCCACTCACCCACCCACTCACTCACCCACCCACTCACTCACCCACCCACTCATTCACCCACCCACTCATTCACCCACCCACTCATTCACCCACCCACTCATTCACCCACCCACTCATTCATCCACCCACTCATTCACCCACCCACTCATTCACCCACCCACTCACCCACTCATTCACCCACCCACCCACCCACTCACCCAACCACTCACTCACCCACCCAGTCACCCACCCACTTACTCACCCACCCACCCACCCACTCACCCAACCACTCACTCACCCACCCAGTCACCCACCCACTTACTCACCCACCCACCCAACCACTCACTCACCCATCCACTCACCCACCCACTCACTCACCCACCCACCCACTCACCCAACCACTCACTCACCCATCTTCTCACCCACTCACTCACCCACCCACCCAAACTCAGCGGAGGCTGACGTCACCCTCTAAACAACAGGACTCAGAAGCCACCGCTTCGCCGGGTACTTACTGCTGGTACCTAATAAATAAATAAATAACGTTGAAACTTGTTCACGTGACACTGAATCTTACTCGTTGGCCATGTCGGGTGGTGGCGAGTTCGACGACACAACGCTTACATGCGACGCTCCAACCCAAATCACCCCTACCCCGCACAGCAGCCTGCGTCGTGGGTATACAAACAAGATGCTGATTCGCTCGCTCTCTCCGCGCCGCCCGCCGTGTCGCCTCAAGACGGTGGGCGTGGAGGTGACGGACGTGGAGACGGACGTGCTGTACCTGCGCAACGTCAGCACGGACGACTCGGGCCGCTACACCTGCCTGGCGGGCAACGCCGCGGGATTCGCTCACCGCTCCGCATGGCTCCTCGTCGTGCCGCAAGAGACGCCGGCTGGTAAGATGTCGACTGCCTCGCCTGCTTTGCAGGAGGTCGTGGGTTCGATCCCGATCCTGACAATGCCTGCTGCTGCTGTATATTTGGAGTTTGCGTCTCTCTCTCTCATCATCATCACGGTGGCTGAGATGTTGACTGCCTCGCCTGGTCTACAGGAGGTCGCGAGTTCAATTCCAACTCTGACGATGCCTGCTGCTGCTGTATATTTGGAGTTTGCGTCTCTCTCTCTCATCATCATCACGGTGGCTATGAGATGTTAACTACCTCGCCTGGTCTGCAGGAGGTCGTGGGTTCGATCCCGACCCTGACGATGCCTGCTGCTGCTGTATATTTGGAGTCTGCGTGTCTCTCTCTCTCTCTCTCATCACGTGGCTATGAGATGTTGACTACCTCGCCTGTCTCCCTGTGACAGTGGACACCGCCCTGGCTGCTCCCGTGAGAGTGGGCGGCGGTTCTTGTGCCGCCGCCCTCCTGCTGCTGATCACCATCGGTGCTGTCACCGGCCTCACGCGGAGGAGGAGAGGGTCGACCAGCGGAGAGGGGGAGATGCAGGTGCAGTTGAGGTGGTGGTGGTGGAGATGGTGGTGGTGGTGGAGGTGGTGGCGGAGGTGGTGGTGGAGGTGGTGAAGGTGGTGTTGGTGGTAGCGGTGGTGGCGGTGGTAGTGGTGGTGGTAGCGGTGGTGATGGTGGTGGTGGAGGTGGCGGTGGTAGCGGTGGTGGTGGTGATGGTGGAGGTGGTGGTGGCGGTGGTGGTGATGATGGTGGTGGTGGTTGTGGTGCCGCCCCAGGTGCTGTCTGCGCTGAGCGGCGTGGAGCTGTCGGGGGTGACGGGGCCGTGCGACCGCTGGGAGTTCCCTCGGGAACGGTTCGTCGTTGTTGTTGTCGTCATCATCGTTGTTGTTGTCGTCATCATCGTTGTTGTTGTCGTCATCATTGTTGTTGTTATCATCGTTGTTGTCGTCGTTATTGTGTGTATATGTCTGTGTGTCTGTGTATATGTTTGTGTCTGTGTATATGTGTGTGTCTGTGTATATGTCTGTGTATGTCTGTGGGTCTGTTTATTTGTGTGTGTGTCTGTGTATATGTCTGTGTATAAGTGTGTGTGTCTGTGTGTGGAGTGATGGCGTAGTGGTTAGCGCTACGCTGCGCTACGAACCCGGCGACCAGAGTTCGATTCCCGCTCACGGCCAACACCAGTGACGATTATCTGAACCGGTCCTGGGCCTCCCCTAGGTCTACTCAGCCTTAAATGAGTACCTGGTGCGGTGTGTAAACATCGCCACAGGGGAGACAAAGGCGGTCGGGCGTGGTGCTGGCCACCCACCCCCTTGTGTACCGTTCCGGCCTTCATAGGTGCTCGCTAACAGCACTTGCCCCTACAGTCTGTTAAGGCTACAGGGGGGTTCTTTGTTTTGTGTGTCTGTGCGTGTGTCTGTGTGTGTGTCTGTCTCTGTGTCTGTCTCTGTGTCTGTGCATGTCTCTGTGTGCGTGTGTCTCTGTGTCTGTGTGTCTCTATGTCTGTGCTTGTGTCTTTATGTCTCTGTGTCTGTCTGTGTCTGCGCGCGTGTCTCTGTCTGTGTGTGTCTCTGTGTCTGTGCGTGTCTGTGCGTGTCTCTGTGTCTGCACGCGTGTCTCTGTGTCTGTGTGTATCTGTCTGTGCGCGTGTCTCTGTGTCTGTGCGCGTGTCTGTGTGTCTGTGTGTGTCTGTGTATCTGTGTGTGTCTGTGTGTGTTTCTGTGTATCTGTGTCTGTGTGTGTGTGTATCTGTGTCTGTGTGTGTGTCTGTGTGTGCAGGCTGACTCTGGGTGAGCAGCTGGGTGAGGGTTGTTTTGGCCACGTGCTGCTGGCCGAGGCGCTGGGCATGGAGCCGTCACGGCCTCACCGCAGCGTCCGCGTCGCCGTCAAGATGCTGAAGGGTGACGCCCGCGGGGTTCTAGAACTAGGAGTTTGTGGGGCGATCGCTACAAGTTTACATTTCGATGTAAAGCTTTCGTGACTGCAGGGATTCATCTTCTTGGTTCTTTCGGTAAAGTCACGTAGAAGGGAAATAATGAAAGAATAAAAATAAAACAATGAAATACAATTCTCACGACGTTTCGGCCACAACGCAAGCAGCCGTCCTCAGGTGAAGAACAGGTCTGTCGGAAAGACAGACCTATTTGTATTACTAAATTATGTTTTATTATTTTATTATGTTTTATTATTTTATTATTTGCATTCTACGTGGTGACTTTACCGCTAGAAGAGTTTGTTTTTAATTTGTGTTCGGACGTGCGGCGTGCGAGCCCAGCGCACGCCACGGAAGCGGAGACCCACGACCTCCACGCGGAGCTGGAGACCCTCAAGAAGATCGGACGGCACAGCCACCTGGTGAACCTGCTGGGCGCATGCACACGGGGCGGTGAGCGTGGGGGGGGGGGGTGAGTGTGGGGGGGTGGTGAGCGGGGGGGTGGTGAGTGTGGGGGGGTGGTGAGCGGGGGGGTGGTGAGCGTGGGTGGTGAGTGTGGGTGGTGAGTGTGGGTGGTGAGTGTGGGGTGGTGGTGAGTGTGGGTGGTGAGTGTGGGATGGTGGTGAGTGTGGGTGGTGAGTGTGGGGGGGTGGTGAGTGTGGGGGGGTGGTGAGCGTGGGTGGTGAGTGTGGGTGGTGAGTGCGGGGGGGTGGTGAGCGTGGGTGGTGAGCGTGGGTGGTGAGTGTGGGGGGGTGGTGAGCGTGGGGGGGGGGGTGGTGAGTGTGGGGGGGTGGGTGGTGAGTGTGGGGGGGTGGTGAGTGTGGGGGGAGGTGGTGAGCGTGGGGGGGGTGGTGAGTGTGGGTGGTGAGCGTGGGAGGGGTGGTGAGTGTGGGGGGGTGGTGAGTGTGGGGGGGGGGTGGTGAGTGTGGGGGGTGGTGAGCGGGGGGGGGGGGGGGTGGTGAGTGTGGGGGGGTGGTGAGTGTGGGGGGGGTGAGCGGGGGGGTGGTGAGTGGGGGGGTGGTGAGCGGGGGGGTGGTGAGTGGGGGGGTGGTGAGCGTGGGTGGTGAGTGTGGGGGGGGTGGTGAGCGTGGGTGGCGAGTGTGGGTGGTGAGCGTGGGGGGGTGGTGAGCGGGGGGGTGGTGAGTGTGGGTGGTGAGTGTGGGGGGGGGGGGGTGGTGAGTGTGGGTGGTGAGTGTGGGGGGGTGGTGAGTGTGGGTGGTGAGTGTGGGGGGGTGGTGAGTGTGGGTGGTGAGCGTGGGGGGGGTGGTGAGTGTGGGTGGTGAGTGGGGGGGGTGGTGAGTGGGGGGGTGAGCAGCCCCCCTCCCTCGTGATGGCGATGAACTCTTCACCTTGTGGACTAATTTGGCTTCGCGAGTGATTTTGGCAAAGCCGAGAGTTGGGTCGTCTTCTTGGTGACTCGGGATTGTGATCATTGCACCTCCCCCGTCCCCCTCTCTATTTCGAAGCCAATGAAACCAACACGAACTTGTAGACAATTCGAGCAGCAGGCGAGGCCTCCGCTCCGCTGCCTGTGTGGCTCCTCTTCAGCAGCGACCCCTGGCCGCCGCCGCCACCACTCACGGCAGCTCAAGCCGCTTTGCTTGACAGCGGCAGCCCCAGTGACGTTTGCTGTTGAGAGCGACTTGCCCGCCGCTGCTCACTAGTTTGTATGTCGTCAGGCAAGACCCCCCCCCCCCCCCCTCGAGCTGCGTTGCTCTTGTTCCGGAAGCCACCTGGCCATCACGGACGATTTCTGGTGGACATTAGTAGCGACGTCGATTCCAAATGTGAAAAGGGGAAAAACCGTAGGACACGGAGGAAATAAAAATCCATCTGGATCGAACGCACGACCTCCTGTGTACCAGGCAAGGTAGTTAACATCTCATAGCCACCGTGATGATGATAAAGAGACACACAGACTCCAAATATACAGCAGCAGCAGCAGGCATCGTCAGAGTTGGAATTGAACTCGCGACCTCCTGTATACCAGGCGAGGTAGTTAACATCGCATAGCCATCGTGATGATGATAAAGAGACACGCAGACTCCACATATACAACAGCAGCAGCAGCAGGCATCGTCAGAGTTGGAATTGAACTCGCGACCTCCTGTAGACCAGGCGAGGTAGTTAACATCTCACTGTGCCCCTTCCCCCCCCCAACTCTCCCAGGCCCCCTGCTCGTGATCGTTGAGTTTGCGGCCAAGGGGAATCTGCGCGACTTCCTGCGTGCACACCGCACGCCCGGCGCAGAGTGCACGGCGCGTGGCGGCTACGGAGCCGGCGGTGGTGGCGGTGGTGGCGGTGGCGGCGGCGGTGGTGGCGGTGGTGGCGGTGGTGGCGGTGGTGGTGGCGACGAGGTGAAGGGCGAAACGCTCTCCATGCTGCAGCTGGTGGCCTTCGCCTGCCAGGTGGCACGCGGCATGGAGTACCTCACCTCTAAGAAGGTGCAGCGACGACACCCGCCCACACGCACGCACATCTACCCACTCAACAACAACAACATACTCTTCGTTTTCTCAGTAAAGTCACGTAGGTAAAAAATTTAATTAAAATTAATAAAAAATAATAAAAATCTTAAATACAAGTTAAGAACTTGCATCTTGGAATCCCTGCCTCACTTGATACAGCAAGTCTGGCTGTGACGGTCCCACCAGACGACGGAGACTTGTGTTGCCTCCAAAACGTCGTGATTTTTATTATTTTATTTTTATTAATTTAAATTTCATTTTCTACCTACGTGACTTTACTGAATAAACTTAGAGTATGAATCCTTGCAGTCACGAAAGCTTCAAATCTAGAACAACAACAACAACCGCCATTCGCCACTAAGTGGCGGTGACGTCACCACGACGCTTGTGCCAGGCCATGTGCACCTTGAGGCCACGTGAAATGTCGAGGAGGTCACGGGGCAGACCCAGGTGCCACGGGTTGACTGACTGAGATGACCGAGATGACTGGCTGATGCACCACCTGTGCCCCCTACTGTACCAATTGGCTGCGCTTTAGCCACCCGGTGCTCCGCTCGTTGTTGTGAGCGTCGCTCCTCTGCCCTTCGTTGTTGTTGGAGGGCGACTGCATCCAACTGCCCAGTAGCGTCCTTCACGAGCCTCCTCAACAGAGGCCGATCTTGACACCACTGGTACCAGTCATCGGCAAGTCTACTCAGCTCCACGTCCTCCTGTACCACATCACTCCATCTCTTCTTTAGCCCAGTGTTGCGCCCGTTTAGCCCCCTCAATCCAGGCCGAACAAAAGCTGTTTAGGCATGCGGTGGCTGGGCATGCGGGCGACATGGCCCAGCCAACACAGCCTTGCCTACCGGAGGAGCTCACCGATGGGACTTCGTCCAGATCTTTCAAGGATATATGAGCTCCTCACACAATCCAGCCTGGTTAAACCCAGGATGGATCGTAGGCAGGCCAGCCTAAATATTTCTAACCGGTGAAGATGCTCCATTAGGGGGGTCCATGTTTCGCAAGCGTAGAGAAAGGAGGGAATGGCTGTGGCCGAGAGGACCTGAAGTTTCGTGCGGAGCGACAGACCAGGTAGCTTCCACACAGCGGTATGCAACCGATGAAAAGATATTGCCGCTCGACTGATTCGGAGTGAGACCTCTGCTGTCAAACCGGAGCCGGTCATGAGCACACTGCCCAGGTATGGGGAACTCTCCACTCTCTGCACAACTGCCCCAAGACCAGTTGGGAGTTGTGGGGGTGGAGTGTCCGATGGTACAAAATACCCAGGCAGGTGCTTAGTTTTGGTGGGGCTGATGATAAGTCCCCACATCTTAGTGGCACGCTCCAGTTCCAGCAGCAGTGCCTCCAACTCCTCTTCTGAGTGAGCAGCTATTACCAGATCATCGGCATACATAACATGGTTGAGCAATAGGGAGCCATCCCTTGACCGCACCTGGGCATCAATCAGCCTCCCATTGTATCTGTACCACATGTAAATTCCTCCGGTACAGCTACTGAAGGTTTCACGAACTACGTGGTCGAAATAGATGTTACATAATGTGGGAGCCAGAGGACATCCCTGTCGCACCCCAAAATAAACAGCGAATGTCTCCGACTCCCGGCCACGTAGTTTTACCCGGGCCCACTCACCATCATGAAGGTCCTTAATGATCGTGAGCAGTGGATCAGGGACTCCGAAAGCACGAACAACCCAGAGCCCAGGCCTCCTGATGGTATCATAGGCCTTGACCAGGTCAATAAAGCAGAGATGTAGGTCTTGTTGGAATTCCCTACACCTCTGCTGTACCAGACAGACAGAAAATATGGCATCTGTGCAGGACCGCCCTTTCCTGAAACCGAATTGGGGCTCGCAAGCCTCTCCTCAGTGTGTCTAGCAAGGCGATGTTGAATAATCCTTGCCTGGACCTTTCCCGGCACACAGGAGTGAGATGCCCCTGTAGTTGTTACAGTCTGTGTCGTCCCCCTTCTTAAAGAGGGAGACCACCAGGGCATCCTTCCAATCCTCCGGAACCCGTCCAGTGGTCAAGACTTTTTTTTATGATATCATGTAGGGCAGTCTGTGCACAAACGCCACCCTCCCTCAGCATTTCGCTTGGGAGATTATCTCTGCCCGGTGCCTGTCCTGGTCTCAGACTCCGGATCGCCTTCAGTACTTCCTCTACAGATGGCACCTCAGCCAGCCACTCACAGGGGGTGACCTCTTCCTCCAATATTTGAGGCACCGCAGCCTCGGCAGGGTTATCCCCACTTTGCGCCATGATGTTTTCCTGGCTGAGGGATTTCCCCTCCCCCAGGACCTCACAGAAATGCTCAGCAAATCTGCAAACCTGTTCCTGGGGGTCGGAGATTGGATCAACGTTTTTTCCCCTAATGATGGAAATAGGTGTGGCGCTGCAGATAACTTTTTTGATGGAGTTAAATAGTGATTTGTGATCGTGAGCCACTCAGGCAGACTCCGTCTCCTCAGCAACCCATAACCATCACCCATCCTTGCAGCGCCTCACGGCTCTCCGAACCTCCGAGCGAAGGCTGCGGTAAGCCTCCTCATTCTCTGACGTGGGATGCTGTCGACGATTAGAGTGGGCATGTCGCTTTTTCTCAACTATCCTGAATACCTCCTCTGTCAGCCAGGGTCTCTGGAGAGGTCTGGACCGCGTATCCAAAGCACCCATTGCAGCTGCATGAGCCACAGTCCTAAACCTCGCCCATTAACCCTCGACATCAGGAGGAGTTGGGACGATGCCAACCCCATCTGCAAGCAATGATGAAATTCTCACTTGCAACTTTCATCAGCTGAGACCAGGCCACTTTAGGTTGGAAGGGGGTCCTGGGTGTACACCCACCACCGGAGTGGAAGAATGGCAGGCGCATCTTACAGATGACTAGTCGATGGTCAGAGGGCATATCAGCTCCACGGTAGGTCCTGGTGTCAAGGACATGGGCTCGCATCCGCTGGTCCGTCACTATGTAGACCAGCAGATGTTTTTGCTTGGACCCGTCATGCATTCATGATGTTGTGTGGATGCGCCAATGCCGGAAGAGCGTGTTGGTAATTACAAGCCCATGGGCTGCACAAAAATCTAGCAGCCTCCTACCGTTGTTATTGAGCTGATCTGGCCCATGCCTTCTAATCACTCCAGATCAGCTGCCAGCATCATGACCAACTCAGGCATTGAAGTCACCCAACAAGATGACTCTATCCCGAGTGGCCAATCTAGCCAGCACCTGTGACAGGAGGTCATAGAAGGCATTTGACTCATCGGCTTTGCCTGCATCCCTCCACGGATGTTCGTGTTCGGTGGGGGCATAAGTAACCACGACCACCACTCCTCGTCTCCGGTTGATGGGAAGGCGAGCCCACAGTAGCCTGGGGCTTACAGCTTCCCACACCTCACCGCCATGCTCCCACGCCCCCTTCATTTTTTTGTTCAGAAGAAGAGCCAGACCCTGTTGTTTGGCAGTCTCCTGCCCCGAGTAAAGGACTGTCCACCCCTTATGGTGGCAGGAGCCAGGACCGGTCCACCGGACCTCCTGAATGCCACAACGATCCAGGCGGTACCGGTCCAGCTCCCGACAAAGGAGTGGCAGCCTCTCCTCCGCAGTGAGTGTTCGAACATTCCACCTCGCCACACGAAGTGGTTTTTCGTTGTTTCTGGAGAAGCCCCAAGGGTGAAGATTCAATCTCCTGGTTCCGACAATTGGGGTTTGGCCAGGAGACGTCATAGACACCTGTCCCCCCCCCCCATGGCCTGCGCCACAAACTTATTAGTTACATATTTAATTTGTGGTTTAGTGGTAATTAATTGAAGGTGGAGGGGTTACCAACCCATTGCACCCGTCCAGAGCCCCCGTTTAGCCACTGTGGTGGTCGCAGACGCCATGACGGGAGAGGCCAATCGGCATTGGCCCTCCCCCCACAGCACTGTCCATGACAGAGTTGCCCGTCCGGCACCCACACACCCCTACCCACACACCCCTACCCACACACCCCTACCCACACACACCTACCCACACACCCCTACCCACACACCCCTACACACACATCTCCTACCCACACACCCCTACCCACACACATCTCCTACCCACACACACCTACCCACGCACCGTGTGTGTCGGTGTCACAGTGCGTTCACCGGGACCTGGCGGCCAGGAACGTCCTCGTCGTTGACGGCGGAGTTGGTGGCGGCTATTCGGTGAAAATCGCTGATCTGGGCCTCACCCGCGACGTGGGCGGCGAACGTGACTACTACTACCAGCACAAGACTGCTGCCGTGAGTGGCGGTGGTGGCGGTGGTGGCGGCGGTGGCGGCGGTGGAGGCGGTGGTGGAGGTGGTGGTGGTGGCGGTGGTGGAGGTGGTGGCGGTGGTGGCGGTGGAGGAGGTGGTGGTGGTGGCGGTGGTCATGCCCGGGGAAGGGGGGGGGGAGAGAGAAGAGAGAGAATCTTTCATGAAATCTTTCATTTGAAAAAAAGAAGAGGGGGGGCACAAAAGCAAAACATTGAAAAAAATTACGAAATGATGAACGAAGCAAAGTGCCGACTACACCGAGCATCTTCTTGTTTCCTCTGATCGTAAAAAAGAAAAGAGAGGGAGGTAGGGGAGAGGGTGGTGGTGGATAAAAGGGTGGTGGTGGTGGTGGGTCAAGGGTCAAGGGTCAGGCTGTGCGTCGTTGACCTCCCCTCGTCACCTGTCGCCCCTCCAGGGACGCCTGCCGGTGAAGTGGATGGCACCGGAGGCGTTGCTGCACCGCGTCTACACACAGCGGAGCGACGTGTGAGTGGCTGTGACACGTTGACTACCTCGGCTGGTACGCAGGAGGTCGTGGGTTCCATCCAGACCCTGACACTGCCTGTGTGAGTGGCTGTGACACGTTGACTACCTCGGCTGGTACGCAGGAGGTCGTGGGTTCCATCCAGACCCTGACACTGCCTGTGTGAGTGGCTGTGACACGTTGACTACCTCGGCTGGTACGCAGGAGGTCGTGGGTTCCATCTAGACCCTGACACTGCCTGTGTGAGTGGCTGTGACACGTTGACTACCTCGGCTGGTACGCAGGAGGTCGTGGGTTCCATCTAGACCCTGACACTGCCTGTGTGAGTGGCTGTGACACGTTGACTACCTCGGCTGGTACGCAGGAGGTCGTGGGTTCCATCCAGACCCTGACACTGCCTGTGTGAGTGGCTGTGACACGTTGACTACCTCGGCTGGTACGCAGGAGGTCGTGGGTTCCATCCAGACCCTGACACTGCCTGCTACCGCTGTATACGGTCGACCCTTCCACATCTCGGGGGTTAAGGGCGCGGGCCCCCCACGATCTGGAAAAACCGCGTACATTGTTTTGGTCCCCTCACTCACCTCCAGCCAGGGGGTTTTTGAGATACAAAGATCACTGCGAGATCACTGCGAGAAGTTTTTTTTTATTGGTTCTTTTTGTGTTTTTAACGCCGTTTGGGATGGGTATTTGGTCATATATGAAGGTCAGTCGTAAGTAAAAAGAGAGAAAATAAAAAAAATAAGAAAGAAATGAGAAGAATAATAGTATCACAAAACACAGCAATAATCACATCTTAGCCAATTATACAAATACTCGCTTTACTACCCGGCTTCGCCTGAGACTTGGGTTAACACACGGCCTACGCGGAGGGTTTGGGGGGGGGGGGAGCGTGACGTCAGCAGACACACTGCTGACAGAGGAGGAGTTCAGGATGGTTGAGAAAAAGCGACAGGCCCACTCTAATCGTCGACAGCATTCCACGTCAGAGAATGAAGAGGCTTACCGCAGCCTTCGCTCGGAGGTTCGGAGAGCCGTGAGGCGCTGCAAGAATGGGTGGTGGTCACGGGTTGCTGAGGAGATGGAGTCTTCTTCAGTGGCCCACGATCACAAATCACTATTTAACTCCATCAAAAAAGTCACCTACAGTGCCACACCTATTACCATCATTAGGGGAATCTCTGACCCCCCAGGAACAGGTTTGCAGATTTTCTGAGAATTTTTGAGATCCTGGGGGAGAGGAAATTCCTCAGCCTGGAAAACATCATGGGGCAAAGTGGGGATAACCCTGCTGAGGCTGCGGTGCCTCAAATATTGGAGGAAGAAGTCACCCCCTGTGAGTTGCTGGCTGAGGTGCCATCTGTTGAGGAAGTACTGAAGGCGATCCAGAGTCAGACCAGGAAAGGCACCGGGCAAAAATCATCTCCCAAGCGACATGCTGAGGGAGAGTGGCGTTTGTGCACAGACTGCCCTACATGACATCATAACGACAGTCTGGACCAATGGATGGGTTCCGCAGGATTGGAAGGATGCCCTGGTGGTCCCACTCTTTAAGAAGGGGGACCGCACAGACTGTAACAACTACAGGGGCATCTCACTCCTCAGTGTGCCGGGAAAGGTCCTGGCAAGGATTATTCAACATCGCCTTGCTAGGCACGCTGAGGAGAGGCTTGAGGAGCCCCAATGTGGTTTCAGGAAAGGCCGGTCCTGCACAGATGCCATATTTTCTGTCTGTCTGCTACAGCAGAGGTGGATGGAATTCCAACAATACCTACATCTCTGCTTTATTGACCCGGTCAAGGTCTATGATACTATCAGTAGGCATGGGCTCTGGGTTGTTCTTCGTGCTTTCGGAGTACCTGACCCTCTGCTCGCGATCATTAAGGACCTTCATGATGGTGAGCGGGCCCGGGTAAAACTACGTGGCCGGGAGTCGGAGACATTCGCTGTTTACTTTAGGGTGCGACAGGGATGTCCTCTGGCTCCCACATTATGTAACATCTATTTCAACCACGTAGTTCGTGAAACATTCAGTAGCTGTACCGGAGGAATTTCCATGTGGTACAGATGCAATGGGAGGCTATTCGATGCCCGGGTTTGGTCAAGGGATGGCTCCCTATTGCTCAACCATGTTACGTATGCCGATGATTTGGTAATTGCTGCTCATTCAAAGGAGAAGTTAGAGATGCTTCTGCTGAAACTGGAGTGTGCCACTAAGAGGTGGAGCCTTACCATCAGCACCTGCCTGGGTATTTTGTACCATTGGACACTCCACCCCCACAACTCCCAATTGGTGATAGGGCAGTTGTGCAGAGAGTGGAGAGTTTCCCATACCTGGGCAGTGTGCTTATGACCGGCTCCGCACGAAGCTTCAGGCCTTCTCGGCCAGTCATTCCCTCCCTTATCTACGCTTGCCTAAACAGCTTTTGTTCGGCCGAATTGAGGGGGCTAAACGGGCGCGGCACGGGCTAGAGATGAGATGGAGTGATGTGGTACAGGAGGACGTGCAGCTGAGTGGACTTGCTGATGACTGGTACCAGCGGTGTCAAGATCGGCCTCAGTGGAGGAGGCTCGTGAAGGACGCTACTGGGCAGTTGGAGGCAGTCGCCCTCCAACAACAACGGAGAGCGGAGGAGCGACGCTCACAACAACGAGCGGAGCGCCGGATGTCTAAAGCACAGCAAGTTGGCAGTCGGGGGCACAGGTGGTGCATCAGCCAGTCATCTCGGTCATCTCAGTCAGTCGACCCATGGCACCTGCTGGGTCTGCCCCGTGACCTCCTGCCAGCGGGCGTTCGACAATTCACGTGGCCTCAAGGTGCACATGGCCTGGCACAAGCGCCGTGGTGATGTCACTACCACTTAGTGGCGAATGGCGGTTGTTGTTGTTGTGTACGTGCGTGAGCATGCATGTGTATGCGTGTGTGTGTGTGGTTGTGCATGCATTTGCATGTGTGCGCGTGTTTGTGCGTATGTGTGTGCAGGTGGTCCTACGGGGTGCTGCTGTGGGAGATCTTCACCCTGGGGGGCTCTCCGTACCCGGGCGTCCCCGTGGAAAAGCTTTTCAAGCTGCTCGGTGACGGCTACCGCATGGAGCGGCCTGCCCTCTGCTCCGACGAGCTGTGAGTAGGAATCGGAGATCGCAACGACGACTACGACGATGACGTCATGTTACCTACAGGAGCGTCGTTCGTTGATGTTGTTGTTATTATTACTCTATACCAGGGGTCCTCAAACTACGGCCCGCGGGCCACATGCGGCCCGCCGAGGACATTTATCCGGCCCGCTGGGTGTTTTTGCCGCCGCTGCCTGTCTGTTACTTTTTTTATACATGAGAAGGACGGTCATTGGTGGAAGAGGGAGAGGGGGCGGAGTTCCCCCCAATCAGACTGCATTGATGGGCAGTACAGTCTGTAAGTCTCTGTGTGGGCAAAGTTATTGCTGGTATATTGTTTTTGTAGCGCTGTATATATATTGGTATTTTACTAATAGCAATTTTGACTCCCTAGGAAACAATGATGTCAAGAAAGAGAAAAATTGACTCGGAGTGTAGGATATTCAAAGAACAGTGGACTTATGATTACTTTTTCATGCAGTACAAGGAAAGAGCTGTGTGTCTGATATGCCAGAATATAGTGTCTGTGTTCAAAGAATACAATTTACGTCGACACTATGAAACTCAACATAAAGATAAATATGCTTGTTTGGTCGGAGAAGTGAGAAAAGATAAAATATTAAAACTGAAAAATACATTGGCAACTCAGCAAAATACTTTTGTGAAGCAGAAGCAGCTAAATATTTCATCACTGCGAGCAAGTTTTTAAGTTGCCAAGCTAATAGCGTGCACTGGCAGACCATTCGTGGAGGGAGAATTTGTTAAAGAATGCCTTCTTTCTGTTGCCAAAGAGATGTGTCCAGAGAAGGCCGATTTATTTAGTACAGTGAGTCTTTCAGGACCTACAATTACACGGAGGATTGAAGAAATGGGAGACAATTTGCATCAGCATTTGCAAAACTCCACAAAAAAACTTTCCTATTTTTCCTTGGCACTCGACGAAAGCAATGATGTTCGTGATTCTGCACAACTTCTAATTTTTATTCGTGGGACGAATGACTATTTCGAAGTCACAGAAGAGCTTGCTGCACTGCAAAGCATCAATGGAACAACTACAGGAGAGGATATCTTTCGATTTAAAGCTTTCGTGACTGCAGGGATTCATCTTCTTGGTTCTTTCGGTAAAGTCACATAGAAGGGAAGTAATAAAATAATTCTCACGACGTTTCGGCCACAACGCAAGCAGCCGTCCTCAGGTGAAAACCAGGTCTGTTGGGGAGACAGCGTCTGAATGAAACAGCACACGAGCTTGGAGCATATATAAGCTGGGTTGGAAGCGGGGGAAAGGGCGCCTTGACAAAAGAATTTGCATATCAAGAGGAATTTAGCATATTTATGGGAAATGCAGGAATGTTATTAGTACTACATATGTCCGTGCTGCATATGTAGTACTAATCACATTCCTGCATTTCCCATAAATATGCTAAATTCCTCTTGATATGCATCTCTCCCCTCTGAGACATATCCTCATCTCAGGAACCATGCACTCAAAATGGCAACCATCTTTGGCAGCACTTATGTCTGTGAACAGACTTTTTCCAGAATGAAACATTTGAAATCTCCAACCAGATCTAGACTAATGGTTGCACACTTGCATCACTTGTTACGACTAGCAGTGACAAATATGGAACCGGACATTGACCATCTCATTAGCCAAAAGCAGGCCCATAGTTCCCATTGAAATACTGGCAAGTTTGTTGATTTAACGTACTTGTTCTTCATTTTAAATATTGTATTTGTTCCCGTTTTGTTTCTTCACTTCAAAATAAGATATATGCAGTGTGCATAGGAATTTGTTCATAGTTTTTTTTGTAACTATAGTCCGGCCCTCCAACGATCTGAGGGACAGTGAACTGGCCCCCTGTTTGAAAAGTTTGAGGACCCCTGCTCTATACACTACACTATACACTACACTATACACTACACTATAATTGTAAATACAGTAGTGGGTTTACTCTATACACTACATTATACACTACACTATACACTACACACTACACTATACACTACACTATACTTGTAAATACAGTAGTGGGGTTACTCTGTACACTACACTATACACTACACTATAATTGTAAATACAGTAGTGGGTTTACTCTGTACACTACACTATACACTACACTATACTTGTAAATACAGTAGCGGGTTTACTCTATCCACTACATTATACACTACACTATACACTACTCTATAATTGTAAATACAGTAGTGGGTTTACTCTATCCACTACACTATACACTACACTATACACTACTCTATGATTGTAAATGTAGTAGCTGCATGTCTGTGCACATTGCGTGTACGCCGTGCGCACGGTGTACACGCACGGCGCGTGTTGAACTTGACTCGCGTGTCGCCGTGCGCAGACACGCGACGATGAGCGAGTGCTGGGCGACCGTCCCCAGCGACAGACCGACGTTCGCGCGGCTGGCGGACGACTTGGGGCGGATCCTCGTGGCCAACGGGGGCCGCCGTGACGAGGTGACCGCTGCCCCGTCCGGGAGGGGGGGGGGGGCGACATGGGCCACGGGGCAGAGAGAGAGATGGAGACGTGGGGGTCGTCAGGCCGTAGGGGTCGAACCTGCGACCTCCCGCTTGCCACCACGCTCGCAGGATGCCGTAGAGGGAAGAGAAGTGGTGGTGGTGGTGGCGGTGGCGGCGGTGGTGGCGGTGGTGGTGGCGGCAGTGGTGGCGGTGGTGGTGGTGGCGGTGGTGGCGGTGGTGGTGGTGGTGGCGGCGGTGGCTTTGGCCATGATGACATGTTTATTTTAAAAGGACTAAACGTTGATCTTCTTCACACCAGTGATAGCGATGATCTGTTCTGGTCCCGGGTCTCCACTAGGTCGACTCAGCCTCAATCGAGTACCTGACGTGGTATGTGTATTAAACATCGCCGCCGGGGAGACAAAGGCGACCGGGCGTGGTGCTGGCCACCCACCCCCTCGTGTGCCACAGCGCCGGTAGCCTTCATAGGTGCTGCTACTCGCTAACAGCACTTGCCCCTACAGTCTGTTCAGGCTACACGGGGATCTTGGTCTTTGTCATCTCTCCCCCATCTTTCCCCCATCTCTCCCCCACCTCTCCCCCATCTCTCTCCACCTCTACCCACGAACATCACTTGCTCCGACAGCCTGTTTGAGGCCACACAATGGGGGGTCTGCTTGTCTGTGTGCGCTAGGACTACGTGGACATGACGGCCGGACTGATGTAGCCCGCCTGGAGATTCGCCGACACTCCCCGTGGTGGTGTTGCTGGTGGTGCTGGTGGTGAAGGAGGGAGGTGGTGGTGGTGGTGGTGCTGGTGGTGCTACTATACACTACGCTACTATACAATATACACTACACTATACACTACACACCACACTACTATACACTACACTATTTTTAGCACCAGGCTAGGGTAACCTACCGGTGTGCTAGGAATCCCCAGTACCCTTCCCCTGGGGTGTGGAGTGTGATAGGACACGGGAACGTGTGCCTGCAGCGGGAACAGCCCAGCCGCCGCCGCCGAAGGAGGAAGGCTCGAGGGTTAGAAGCCCAACCTCGTCGCCGGGCGGTGATGGCGGCGTGCCCCCGCCCGGGGCAGACGAGGGGGAGCCGTGGCGGGGCGTGGAGTAATGGGAGACAGTTCCACGTGCAGCCAGAGGTCCGACGCCTGCACCATGACGGGCGAAGGCGTCAGGTGTGCAGCATAGGCAGTGATTGTGCAGCAGTACTCAGAGTGTAAGCAGAGTCGTGTGAAGAGTGTTTAATAAAACAACTGGCGCAAGCCCTTACATGAAGCTCCGTCTCCGTGTGGATTTACAAGTCTCCAGTGGTGTCAGGAATAACCACACAACACTTGGGAGATCATCTCTGCCTGGTGCCTTTCCTGGTCTCAGGCTATGGAATGCTTTCAGTACTTCCTCAACAGATGGCACCTCAGCCAGGCACTCACAGGGGGTGACTTCCTCTTCCAATATTTGAGGCACCGCAGCCTCAGCAGGGTCATCCCCACTTTGTGCCATGATGTTTTCCAGGCTGGGGTATTTCCCCTCCCCCAGGACCTCACAAAAATGCTCAGCAAATCTGCAAACCTGTTCCTGGGGGTCGGAGATTGGATCACCGTTCGTTTCCCTAATGATGGTAATAGGTATGGCGCTGCAGGTTACTTTTTATGGAAATAAACAGCGATATGTGATCGCAGGCCATTGAGGCAGACTCCATCTCCTCAGTAACCCACGACCACCACCCATCCTTGCAGCGCCTCACGGCTCTCAGAACCTCCGAGCGAAGGCTGCGGTAAGCTTCCTCATTCTCTGACGTGGGATGCTGTAGACGATGAGAGAGGGCCTGTCGCTTTTTCTCAGCCAGCCTGAACACCTCTTTTGTCAGCTAGGGTCTCTGAGGAGGTATGGACCGTGTACCCAAAGTAGCCATTGCAGCTGCATGAGCCACAGTCCTAAACCTCGCCCATTTCCCCTCGACATGAGGAGTGGGGGGCGATGCCAACCCTAGCCGCAAGCGATGATGAAATTCTTGCTTGAAACTTTAATCAGCTAGCTGAGGCCATGCCACGATGGGTTTAAATGGGGTCCTGGGTGTACACCCCCCACCGGAGTGGAAGAATGGCAGGCGCATCTTGCAGATGACAAGTCAATGGTCAGTGGGCAAATCAGCTCCTGGTGTCAAGGACATGGGCCCGCATGCACTGGTCCGTCACAATGTAGTCCAGCAGATGTTCTTGCTTGTGTCGTGACTGTGATTGTCACTGTGTGGTGCCGGGCTTACGAAGCCACGGCGGATGATGTGTTGGCATTACGTGCAGCCCGCTCACTGGGCGTAGTACCGCCAGCCCTAGCGGGGCCTGGGTGAGCGCTGGTCAGCGCGGAGGCACCGTGTACAGCGTGCGGTGCGGGCTCCCGGCGAGGGAGCGAGAGGGAGCGAGAGGGAGCGTCAGCCAGCCAGGGTTACGTTGGGGCACGATACGCCGGTTGACCTGCCGACACGTGACCGGATGATATTGGAGGGGGCCACCGGTGGACGGGGGGCCGCTGGGCGGTCACGTGGTCTACAAGAGCCTTCGGGGAGCCTTCGGGAAAGAGCCGGAAAGATCTAGAAGGTGGGCGGGGCGAGGGGTTGTAGATCTGAAGTTTTCGCGACTGCGATGATTCATACTCTTTGGTGTTTTCGGTAAAGTCACGTAGGTGAAAAATAAAATAAAATTAAAACTAAATTAAATCACGACGTTTCGGACGCCACGCAAGTGTCTGTCAACGGGCGGGAAAGCGTGGCCTGCTGCTGATGCAGACCAAAGAGTGAGGGGCTCGGGGTTCTTCGTGTTGCTGGCGATGAAGATCCGCATCGGGTTGAAGAAGCCTCTAGTCACGCGGTCAACACCCAAGTGTAGCTTGTGTTGTGTTGCTGAAGAGTGTTGCTCCCAAGACAACGTCTGCGACCGAGTTGGACTCGACACACTTGGACCCGCCGCCGGGTTCATAGAGCAGCGTAGCGCTAACCGCTACACCACCGCTACCCATCGCGCTGTGGGGGTCACCTTGGTCTCGATGTTGCGCCCTCTCAGTGCCGAGCGGACGAAGCGCAGCACGCAGTCCACCAGCCCCTCGCCCTTCCACGTGCTCAGCCGTCGGTCCGGATCTGCCGAGCTCAACTCCCTGCAATGTCACCGCCGTGACGTGAACCCCCGACGTTCCCCGTCGCGTCCACCGCATGACGTCGTGTCAACCGCGGCGTTCCCCGTCGCGTCCACCACGAAATCACCGCCCCTTACCGTAGGCACGCCAAGGCGTTGCAGAACGCCGCGGAAGGCGAGGCGGGCGAGCTGGGTGAGGAGGGCGAGCTGGGTGAGGAGGGTGAGGAGGGTGAGGAGGGCGAGGAGGGCGAGGAGGGTGAGGAGGGTGAGGAGGGCGAGGAGAGCGAGTCTCCAAAGTTGCTCCTCCAGCCGCTCCCTGGCACCAGCACGTGCTCCACCAGCGCCGGGAGGCAAAGCGCCACCAGCGCAGCCCTCAGAGACTCGTGGCACGACAGGTTCCACAGCGTGCCTGGGGTAGGGGTGGTGAGCGTGGGTGGTGAGCGTGGTGTGGGTGGTGAGGGTGCGTGGTGAGTGTGGGTGGTGGTGAGCGTGGGTGGTGAGTGTGGGTGGTGGTGAGCGTGGGTGGTGAGCGTGGTGAGTGTGGGTGGTGAGTGTGGGTGGTGGTGAGTGTGGGTGATGGTGAGTGTGGGTGGTGAGTGTGGGTGGTGGTGAGTGTGGGTGGTGGTGAGCGTGGGTGGTGAGTGTGGGTGGTGGTGAGCGTGGGTGGTGAGCATGGTGAGTGTGGGTGGTGAGTGTGGGTGGTGGTGAGTGTGGGTGATGGTGAGTGTGGGTGGTGGTGAGTGTGGGTGGTGGTGAGTGTGGGTGGTGGTGAGTGTGGGTGGTGGTGAGTGTGGGTGGTGAGTGTGGGTGGTGGTGAGTGTGGGTAGTGAGTGTGGGTGGTGGTGAGTGTGGGTGGTGGTGAGGGTGGGTAGTGAGGGTGGGTGGTGAGTGTGGGTGGTGGTGAGTGTGGGTAGTGAGTGTGGGTGGTGGTGAGTGTGGGTGGTGGTGAGGTGGGTGGTGAGTGTGGGTGGTGGTGAGTGTGGGTAGTGAGTGTGGGTGGTGAGTGTGGGTGGTGGTGAGTGTGGGTGGTGAGTGTGGGTGGTGGTGAGTGTGGGTAGTGAGTGTGGGTGGTGAGTGTGGGTGGTGGTGAGTGTGGGTAGTGAGTGTGGGTGGTGGTGAGTGTGGGTGGTGGTGAGCGTGGGTGGTGAGTGTGGGTGGTGGTGAGCGTGGGTGGTGAGCGTGGTGAGTGTGGGTGGTGAGTGTGGGTGGTGGTGAGTGTGGGTGATGGTGAGTGTGGGTGGTGGTGAGTGTGGGTGGTGGTGAGTGTGGGTGGTGGTGAGTGTGGGTGGTGAGTGTGGGTGGTGGTGAGTGTGGGTAGTGAGTGTGGGTGGTGGTGAGTGTGGGTGGTGGTGAGTGTGGGTAGTGAGTGTGGGTGGTGAGTGTGGGTGGTGGTGAGTGTGGGTGGTGAGTGTGGGTGGTGGTGAGTGTGGGTAGTGAGTGTGGGTGGTGAGTGTGGGTAGCAATCACCGCCACCAACGGCAACATCCCCACCACCGCCACCACCGCCACCACCGCCAACACCACAACCACCACCGCCAACTTGTCAGATTGCTCGCAATCACCGCCACCAACGGCAACACCACAACCACCACCGCCAACAACACCACCACCGCCAACACCACCACCACCGCCACCACCGCCACCGCCAACACCACAACCACCACCGCCAACACCACCGCCAACACCACCGCCACCACCGCCAACACCGCCACCACCACCACCGCCAACACCACCGCCAATACCACCAACACCACCACCTCCCCCACCCTCCCCCACCGAGAAGCCTCCTCTCTCTCTCTGCCGCCCCCCTCCGGCGGTGTTGGCAGCGGCGGCGGTGGCGGTGCTGGTGGTGAAGAAGCAGTCTCCGAGAGCGCCCACAAAGCCGGACCACCAGCGGCGCGGCAGGGAGCCAAGCGGTGGTGCGGCGGCAGCAGGGGCAGCAGGAGCAGCAGGGACAGCAGGGGCAGTAGCAGGGGCAGCAGGGACAGCAGGGACAGCAGCAGCAGGGGCAGCAGGAGCAGGGGCAGCAGCAGCAGGGGCAGCAGCAGCAGGGCAGCAGCAGGACAGCAGCAGGGGCAGCAGCAGCAGGAGCAGGGCGTGGAGCGTCAGACAGGAGGGCCGTGGTGGCCATGGTGGTGACAAAGTCCTTCGGCCTGGGAGGGGGAGAGTGGGGGAGAGGTGAGCGTGTGTGTGTGTAGACATTACACACAGACACACACACATTACAACAACAGCAACCGCCATTCGCCACTAAGTGGCGGTGATGTCACCACGACGCTTGTGCCAGGCCACGTGCACCGAGGCCACGTGAAGTGTCGAACGCCCGCTGGCAGGAGGTCACGGGGCAGACCCAGGTGCCACAGGTCGACTGACTGAGATGACCGAGATGACTGGCTGATGCACCACCTGTGCCCCCAACTGTGCCAACTTGTTGTGCTTTAGCCACCCGGCGCTCCGCTCGTTGTTGTGAGCGTCGCTCCTCCGCCCTCCGTTGTTGTTGGAGGGCGACTGCCTCCAACTGCCCAGTAGCGTCCTTCACGAGCCTCCTCCACAGAGGCCGATCTTGACACCGCTGGTACCAGTCATCGGCAAGTCCACTCAGCTCCACGTCCTCCTGTACCACATCACTCCATCTCTTCTCTAGCCCGTGCCACGCCCGTTTAGCCCCCTCGATCCGGCCGAACAAAAGCTGTTTAGGCATGCGGTGGCTGGGCATGCGGGCTACATGACCCAGCCAACGCAGCCTTGCCTGCCGGAGGAGCTCACTGATGGGACTTTGACCAGATCTTTCAAGGATTTGTGAGCTCCTCACACAATGCAGCCTCGTTAAACCCAACAACCACCACAACAACCACCACCACACAAACAACAACCATCACAACAACCACCACAACAACCACCACCACACAAACAACAACCACCACAACAACCACCACCACACAAACAACAACAACCATCACCACAACAACCACCACAACAACCACCA